AATTTAGCTAATGTAGACATATGTGTAAACCTGAGAAACTACCTCTGCAATCAAGGTATGGAACATCCCCCATGCCCCCTGAAAGATTACTTTTGCCTCTTTGAAGTCCATCTTTCCCTCTTGGTCAAGCTCCCTTCAACCACTGGACTGCTTTGTGTTACTATAGATAAGATTAGACTTTTGTAATATTGTTTATGAAAGTCATGTTTAATTTTTCTCAAGGATGTTCTGTACTTTTTAGTAAATAGTTCTTTTGTTAATTTTAATCCTAAGTTACTTATGTTTTGTGCTTCTTATGGATTTCCATAAAATAGATTTTTACTGCTTAATGTATAAAAATACAATTGATTTTTAAAATATTAACTTTGTATTCTGTGATCTTGTTAGTAAGTTGTTTTATAGATTCTTTAGGATTTCTATATAAGCAATCATGTCTCCTTCAAATAAAGACAGTTTTATTTTTTTATCTTCCAAGTTCTATACTTCCTCCTTTTTTCCCTTGTTTTTGCCTTATTGCAAAGGCTAGCACCCCTATTAAAATGTTCAGTTGAAATGGTGAGTTTTTGCCTTGATCTGAGGCAGAAAGCATTCAATATTTCAATGTTAAATATGATATTATAGATTTTTAGTAGATAAGCATTTATCATGTTAAAGAAGTTCTATTCCTAGTTTGCTGAGAAACTTTCATCATGAGTGGATCCTTCTATTTTGTTAAATGCTTTTTCTGTACAAGTTAAAATGATCACATGGTTTTTCTGCTTCATTCTGTTAATGTATGTACTTATACTGATTATATTTGGAATGTTAAACCAACCTTGTGTTCCTGGATTAACCCTTACTTGGTTATGATGGCCTATCCATTTTATATATTGTTAGATTCTATTTTTAAAGGATTTTTGTATCTGTGTTCATTGAGGGTCATTAGTCTAATTTTCATTTTTTGTGATACCCTTATCAGGTTTTGGAGTTAATATACTGACCTTATAAAACAACTTGAGAAATAGCCCCTTCTCTATATTCTAAAATGATTGTAGAATTTTGATGTTATTCTTTTCTTTTTTGCTAGAATTCAGAAGTGAAACCATTTGGGTCTACCTAGAATTTTCCTGGTATTCTAGGTTGGTTATATTACATCTAATTTTTTAATGAATTCACTTAATTTTTTTTAAAAAAATAGGGCTATTCAGATTTTCAGTTTCATCTTTATCAATTTGATAACTGTTTTTCAAGGAACTTATTCTTTTTATCAAAGTTATTGAATGTATCATCATAAAGTTGGTCATACTCTTACTATCCTACTATCTGTATGGTCTGATGTTGGTGATTTGAGTTCTCTCTTTTATCCTTGTTCAATCTAGCTAGAGTTTAGCCATTTTTTTTTAATCTTTCCAGAGAACTGTTCTTGGCTTTGTCGATTTTCTCTATTGTTTTGTTTTCTATTTCATTGATTTCTGCTCTCATCTTCATTGTTTCCTTCTTTGTATTTACTCTTAACCCTTAGGTCATTGATTTTAGATTTTTCTTTCTTCCTACTATAAACATTTAAAATTATAGATATGCCTCTAAACATTGCTTTAACTACATTCCACAAATTTTGTTATGTTAGATTTTTATTGATTTGGAACATTTTCTAATTTTCTTTGTGGCCTATAACTTATTTGGAAATGTGTTGTTTAATTTCTGTGTGTTTCGGGTTTTCTTCTATGTCTTACTGTTGATCGTTTCTAGTTTACTCTTTTTGTCAGAGCCCTGCTCTGTATGATTTCATTACTTTTGAATTTGTTGCATCTTGTTTTGTGGCTCATAATATGGGCTGTCTTGGTGAATATATCAAGTGCACTTGAAAAAAACATGCATACTGCAGTTGTTGGTAGAAGTGATCTTTAAATGTCAGTTACGTCAAAGTGGTTGATAGCCTTATTCAGAGTCTCTCTGTCTTTATTGCTTTGTTTTCTAGTCCCATCAACTGCCAAGATAGAAGTGTTAAAATCTTCTGTTATGATTGTGGAATGATATATTTAATCCTATCATTTTTGCTTTATATATTTTGAGCCTCGATTATTAGTAACATACATGTCAGGAACCGTGGAGGTTCTGGGACTTTACCTCCATGCATATGTCTCCTTTGCCTCACTCCATCTCCCTAGCACTGCTCCCTCAACAAAGAGAGAGGACAATGATAACTTGTTAGCTATTCGGAAGCTGACAAGGTCACCTGCCACAGTTTCATGGAGACAGGCAAAAAGCATGAGACACCCGGATCAGAGACAGAGGACAGTTAATTCCTCACAGAATATAGTCATTTTTTTTTTGTGCTGGTTTTCTAAGAACTAATTCCCACAGAACAACCATATGAGGTTTTGTTGTGTGTGTTTTCTGTAGTGTTTTTTGTATGGTCCTAGCTACATTTGGATGGGGGCATTGTTTTATTTTTTAAATTAGGGGATGTGCATCCCTGAGTTTCTGTCTTCCTTAGTTTCTGTATTTACTTGAATCACTCCCTCTTTCTGGAAATTTTATATTCAAAAGTACACATATAGAAATGTTCTCTTTTCTACTATTTATAAGTGAGTGTCTCCTAAATCTTCAAGAAAAGCCATTTCTGATTATGCCAGCAACAAGAGTATTTTTTAAAAATGTTTTGAAAGTAGAGGCAGTCTATATTTTTGGAATTTTTTATTTCCAGTGCTCTTCATTCCTGAGGATTCAGTTTTCCATCTCATGTCATTTCCCTTCAACCTGAAGAACTCCCTTTAGTGTTTTCTATAGTAGAGATCTGCTAAAAATAAATTTTCTTAGTTTTCCTTTATCTGGAAATAAGTTTATTTTTCCTTCATTATCAAAGGATATTTTCATTAGAAATAGAATTCTTAGATAACAATTTTGTTCTTTCCGAATTTTAAATTTGTTATTCTACTCCCTTGTGTGTGGTTTTTTTGTTTGTTTGTGTGTTTGAGACAGTGTCTCCCTCTGTTGCCCTGGCTAGAGTACAGTGGCATCGGTCATAGCTCACTGCAACCTCAGATACCTGGGCTCAAGCAGTCCTTCTGCTTCAGCCTCCCACGTAGTTGGGACTACAAGTGCATGCTACTACCATGCCCAGATAATTTTTTTTTTTAATTAATTTTTGTAGAGACAATGTCTCACTATGTTGCTCAGGCTGATCTTGAACTCCTGGCCTCCAACAATCCTCCCACCTTGGCCTCCCCAAGGGCTAAGATTACAGATATGAACTTTTTTTTAATGGATTACTAGATGTTCCTAAATTTATTTTATTTTATTTTATATATTGTGTACATGTGCGTATTGTTATATGCATAGAATGTGTCATTATCAAATTGAGGTATTTGGGGGTATCTATCATCTTGAGTATCATTTCTATTTAACCTTTTTTTGTGGGAGCTAGAGATGGGATCTTGCTATGTTGTCCAGGCTGGTCTGCAATGCCTGTCCTCAAGCAATACTCCCACCGCAGCCTCCCAAAGCTCTGGGATTACAGGCATGAGCCACGCCCAGCCTATCATTTCTATTTTAGTTTGAGAGTCATTGGTAATTCAAATCTTCAGTCCTTGTATGCAGTCAGGCAGCTTTCAAAATTTTCTTCATCTTTGTAGCATTTAAGATGAGATAATTAATTTAAAAAAAATTTTTTTCTTCATCTTTGGATTTCCACAGTTTGACTATGCTGTGTCAAGGTGTGGCTTTCCTTGTTTTTATCCTGTTGGAGATTTGCTGAGCTTCTTGATTGTGTAAATTCTTACACAATCTTATACTTACACAATTTATGTTTGTTTACCAATTTTGGGAAATTTTTGGTTCTTATTTCTTCAAATATTTTTTCCACCCCATTTTTTTTCTTTCCTTCTAGGACTCTAATTACACATATACATCTTTTGATATTGTTTCACAACAATGATCTTTTAATGTCAATCATATCATTTCACCTTCCTACTTAAAACTTTTCAGTGGCTTCCATTGCAAGTAGAATACAATCCGTACTCTTTGCCATGTCTTTCAAGGCCTTATGATCTACCAATAACTCTCTCTGATCTCATTTCCCACCTCTTTTTCTCTTTACTCCCTATACTTCTACCACACTAATTTTTTTTGTCTTCCTGGAACATGTCAGTTATTCCTGCCTTTATACAAGATGTTCCCTTTACCCTCAGTGTTCTTCTAAATCTTCGTATGGCTAACTCCTTTGGATATCTGCATAAGTTACCTCTTCAGAGAGTCTATCTCTTACTACTTCAGCTAAAAGCTGCCTATTCCCTCAATAGACACACATACACAGGCACATTTCAGACCCACACTTCTTTTTTAACAGCTTTACTGAGCTACAAGATACCATAAAATTCACCAATTTAAAATATTTAATTTATTGGGTTTTAGTATATTCACAGATATATCTATCTATACAGTCAATCTTACACATAATCTGTCTTATTCAATGCTTTTTCCTAATATTAAGAACAATGTCTGGTATGTAATGCATGCTCACTAAATTTTTCTGAGTATGTGAATTCATTAGTTCTAAGATAATTTAGCCAGTCACCTTCAATAAAGTATTAGGGAAGTCATTTCACAGCCTTCAGCTCTGAAAGTATTTTATCAGATATGCTACTTTGTGGGCTCTCTGAAATAGCAGCTTACCATATTTTAAGAATTATTAAAGGAAGTTACAAAAAATTCCTTTTCATAAAATTGATACAAATAACAAGCACATTTTCCTAAAAGAATAGTCATCCTTTAACTGGCTTGACAGTTGCTGAGGATCTGAAAGCCTCCCAGAAATAATACTTTTCTGCTTTCAAAAGTACTCCTGACATTGTTTGTATCTTTGACATAAATTATAGAATCTCTAGTGCTTGTTTTATTTACTAATTAAGGTAATAGCAGGTTATTTATGAGATTCTAGATATGCTCTTTCCTTAGGTGCCTTTGATGTGGAATGTCAGTTCTGAGCCTGGTTAATCCATGTTGCCTCATCTTCTTTATAGGCTTTGATGCGGCCTGGAAGAATTGATAGAATCATCTATGTACCCTTACCAGATGCAGCAACAAGAAAGGAAATATTTAATCTGCAGTTTCACTCTATGCCAATCAGTAAGGAGGTTGACTTGAATGAACTAATTCTCCAAACTGATACATACTCAGGAGCGGAGGTAAGATAATTCCCCTCAAAATACCTTGCTGGTGGAAGGGAAGGAATGGCTTGAGGTCATTTAGGAAAAGAAACTGCTTGCTCCCACTATTTTAAATAAAAGTATGCTAAAAAATCTTAAAACATGAAATGCAGTACATGACATATATCACTAAGTAAATTGCATTTGGCTGGCCTCTATTATAGCTCTCCTGTTTTTTTACCTACTTCTATTATTTCTCATAGTCTTTAGAGAAGTAACATAATATAGTGGAAAAGAGCACTAGACCAGAGGTAAATTCTCCTGTTGGGCTTCTTTATACAGCAGTTTCCAGCCATTACACACTTCTCTGAACTTTGGTTTCTTTACCTATCAAATGAAAATGACAATACAACCTTCCCTGCTGCTTTCTCATGGAGATCATAGAAATGAAATTAGGATTTCGTGAGTGTAAAGGGCTTGGCAAAGAGATTCTATTATTATCATCTTTTATAATTTTGGAAAATTATCTCAATATATTTTTATATTAAGAATGATTCTCTTCTCACTAATGTTGATTCTTCACTGAGGCAAAAAAAGAGAAAGAAAAAAAGGAATTAAAATAAAAATTTAAAAATAAACTTAAAGAAAAAATAAAAAGAATGATTCTCTCATAAAAGGGATCATCTGCCCTGTACTATGACGGTATACTCTTAACAAGAACAGCAAAACCTCTGTGAAAATATGAAAACCACTTTTACATATAGCAGATAAATATTTTTTCTCTCCTTAGCAACTCTTAAGCAATTTTTATTTATAAAATAAAATTCCATTAAATAATTGTGCATCTTTTCTACACGTATTTCTTAAGAAAAGGACTATGCACCTCAACACAGGAATAGCAATCAATGTTATTCTTTTGAATACCACTGATGTGGATTTGTACTGAGAAATTAATTTTTTTTTTTTTTTTTTTGAGACAGAGTCTCGCTTTGTTGTCCAGGCTAGAGTGAGTGCCGTGGCGTCAGCCTAGCTCACAGCAACCTCAAACTCCTGGGCTCAAGCGATCCTTCTGCCTCAGCCTCCCGAGTAGCTGGGACTACAGGCATTCGCCACCATGCCCGGCTAATTTTTTGTATATATATTAGTTGGCCAATTAATTTCTTTTCTATTTATAGTAGAGACGGGGTCTCACTCTTGCTCAGGCTGGTTTTGAACTCCTGACCTTGAGCAATCCGCCCGCCTCAGCCTCCCAAGAGCTAGGATTACAGGCGTGAGCCACCGCGCCCGGCGAAATTAATATTTTTTAAGTAAAAAGTTAAAGATTCTTTTTATTCTGAATTATCCAGTACACTGGGACTCTGCAATCTAATTTGCTTGCTACCTGGTTTTGTCCATTCTATGCGAAAAAGATGAGCATATAATAGATCATTAGTGGTACTCTGAAAGTACTTAAGTAAATTTACATGTGGAACTGAACTTACTATATCATGCAGTCATAGCTAATAACAATGGCCAAAATAAATCCCAAATCTACTAATTGTTTGATCTCAAGAAATATGGGTACAGACAATCCCCAAATTCTGGTAGCACAACTTAATGATTTTTGGACTTTACAATGATGTGCTACCCTGATACTTTACAATGATGCACTACGATGATGCAGAAACAATACATGCTCAGTATACTTCTCAGCTTGCAATAGGACTATGTCCAGCTAAACCCTTCATAAATTGAAAATATCAAGCTGAAAATATTGTAAGTCAAAAATGCATAAGTGTGTTTTTGACTCATGACATTTTAAACTTATGATGGGCGTATTTGAACATATCCCCATTGTAAGTCAAGGAGTGTCTGTATTTGATTTTCATCCTTTAGGTTTTTCAAGTCCACTGGAAAAAAAATCCATGTAGCTTGAGAAGCAGTTGGAGTGTGCTCACCTTTAACTCCTGTTTGAAACAATAATCTTTATGAACATCTCTTTGGCATGACCATTCATAAAGTTAAAATGAACATTCTGTTAACTGATGATGCTAGCATTTCTAGAATTCAGTTTTTTATTTGAGACCACGGGCATCACATATATGATATGGCAATTTAAAGGATACAGCAAGGAGAAGAAACCATAAATCTTACACTTGAGTTTAGTGAAGTGGAAGAGCAGTTAGGAAGGTATAAATGTGCCTTTCTCACTTAGAAGTTATTTGTGGTAGTAACATAGAAGTGCAAAACAAAAATAAAAGCCAGTGAGATTCTGTCTGGCTGAAAAGAAGAGAAGAGGAGAGGAGGGGAGGGGGGAGAGGGAAGACGGGGAGGGAGAGGGAGAGGGGAAGAAAAAGAAAAAGACACTCATTTGGTGCCAGCAATTATTGAACCGGCTTGCTAGTTCATACATAGTACACTTATCCGATCTAACATGTAAGCACACTTATGATTAATTTTTATGTCAGATTTTCTAAAAATATAGGAAAAGAAAATTCTGCACTTCCTTGAATTATGTTTTTGTGTTCATAGTGCTTGGATGGGGAGGGGATCCCACCATGGTCCTCCTTATAATCAGTATATTATTTATGACAACTTCATAGAAATCTTATCCAATAGCCACATCTTAGTAGTATCATGGTTTCTAATTTGGATGAGACAGGTTTGTTTCATTTGGCGTTTTTTCTTTTTCTTTGGTCTAAATATTTACACAGTTCACACAAGCGTTTGAGAACTATGATCATTTCTTAAAAAATCTTAACAGTAAATAGGAAACTTAGGACAGGTAAAATTTAGCTTCAGGTAAAATATAAGGTCTCATCTTTTTTTTTCTTTCTTTCTTTGTATTTTCATCAGAATGAAAATGGTGCCTACAATGTTCAAAAGCCAAAATTAGGTTTGATTTTTTTTTTTTTAAATAATAAACTGAATTCAAAGCCAGAACCTCAATCACCTGATTCCTGTAGACTCAATGCTTTACAAACACTGATGTAACTAATTTATTCCTCCCCGGGCTTAGGCCATATCCTTCAGCATAGACCCTACTACATGGTATATGTTTAACGAACACTTAGTAAACTATGGTGGGAAAAGGAAAAAAGATTTTAATACTCTATTTATAAAAACAGACTTCTATTTCTTATTTGTTATAAGAGGAGTCCTCAACTCCTTGCTGCAGGCACAGCTACTTCCTCAGAGTTGGAGTGTCTCTCTGGCCACTTTCAGTGTAAAAATGAAAATACTGTCATTAATTGTTTTCACAGGAGAGTAGTGTATTATATTCAAGATTATGTAAAATTAATTTTATTTAACTGTGCACTGTTAGCTATATGAATGAGAATGTAGCCAGGTGAGCCAGAGTTGAGGAAATTCCTGGCACTCTGATTATCTTTTAGTAATAAAATGTTTATGTATAGTGAACATTTTTAATTTTTATTTTTAATTAAAAAGTTGTAGAGGATGATTGAGATGGAGATGATACTGGTACTTTTAATGAATGGGATTGAGGGGAGATTACTTTAAAATTTTTTTTTTTTTTACCTCATTATTTTGCCCAATCAACATTGCTCCATAAAGGCTTACATTAGCCTAGTGTTTGAAGTAGCTCCTTCTACCCTCTCTGAGTTTCTCCATTTTTCCTCCTTGGAAAGGGTATACAGAGAATTGAAGCATTTTTTTTTCTTACTTTTTTATTTTTTTCACCATATTATAGGGGTACAAATGTTAAGGTTACGTATATTGCCCATGCCCCCCTCCCTCCTCGAGTCAGAGCTTGAAACGTGACCATCTCCCAGACGGTGCACATCTCACTCATTATGTATGTATATACCCATCCCCTCCTTCCCCCTCCCACCTGCCCAACACCTTATATATGTTATTCCTATATGTCCACTTAGGTGTTGATCAGTTAATACCAATTTACTGGTGAGTACATGTGGTGCTTATTTTTCCATTCTTGGGATACTTCACTTAATAGAATGGGTTATTATTTTTTTTTTTTTAAGCCTCAGGATGATCTTGAGAGGAAGTTTGTCACCAGCTGGTAAAGGAATATAGTCCCTAGTGAGCAGCCTCTGAGGAGAGGCTCAAGCAGGCCATCTCTGCTGCGTGCTACTCACTCTCTCTGTAGCTCTCATTGTTTTTAGCTTCTTGGCTGTAGCTCTCAGTTAATGGAAAAACATGTTGCCATTTAAGAGCAGATGGGAATCACAAAGAAATACATTTTTCTGTTTGTTTATTTTCTTTTGCTTTGATTTTTGTTTAAGTTGTTTGTATTAATAGATTCTGCTTCATTTGTCTTTTAACAAATAATTCTGGTTACTTTAGGAAAAGTCTTCTTTCTAACAGAAAAACAACTGTCACAAGTTTGTGCACATAAAGATCATAACTAGGCTCATTACCCTTTGTGCCCTGTGGTTGGGAACAGAGGTGATGAGTAAGATACATAATTTCCTCTGTGTATAGAAATTTGTTGACACGGGCCAAAGACTGGTATCTGTAAAATTAGGGTTGAATTTTTATTTGCATTTGGATGTTACCCTGTTTTTATTGATTATCTCATTAAGTAAAATTGGTAATATATCTAAGAGCCAGGTATTAACTATGTATTTTATTAATAATATAGGCAATCATAGCATTTATTTCATATATCAACTTCCAAGAGAGGCAATGGGGGGGTGGATTTTGATGTTGTGATTGAGTAGATCTTTAATAGAATCTTAGTTCTTTTTCTTTCAAGCAATTATTGTACTCCTTTGAACCTAAGTTTCCTCATTTGTAAATATCTATGTGATTGAGGTTGTTTTGAGGGTTAAATTAGATGACAAATATAAAAACCCAAAGAAATATGCCTGACACATAAAGAGTGCTTCATATGTTACCCCTTCATCATTTTTTCTCTTATCTGTTTATAATTTATATTTACACTAAAATGTTGGATGATGTTGCTATAAGATAGTAATAGTTTTTGTATTGCCTTTATTCAATAAGCAGATAAATAAGTTATCTGAAAGCTAAATGATAATTGAGTTTGCCACTTATCTTTTTCTTTAAAATATAAG